TACAAGGCCGTATGGGGAGGGGGTCAGGTAAATTTAGCGTGGCACGCGGGCTCAGAGATATTTTCAATTTTGTAAGCACGCGTACAATCATAGCGTGTGCGAGTTTAGTGTTTTCAGAGCCGTACTTTTTGAGGACTTTTTACGAAGTTTTATCATTAGTCGTGTTACTGTGTTGAGGTTGTTTTGGCCGATTAAACGTGGATTTGTTTTCCGAAGGGTTCTCCGTAATTTTGCCTGGGGACAACAACCAAAATCTCCTGCGACCCCTTAACTCCTAAGATCTGATTGTTAATTCTCCCTTCGAGTTACTGAACGTATCCTTGTAAATTAGTATCGAGAATTTGGTGTCAGATCAAGATAACAACTTCCACCTGATCAGTTTGAGTATTCTCATTACCTGTTTGCTGGATAATGTATGGATATTGTTGGGAGAAGTTACATGTAAATCACTTCTGGGAGTTTAAAGGTTAAGAAATAAAAGGCCTCAGTGTTTTATCAGGGTCCCAGTCTTTACCAGAAATAGCTGTACTCGATTAAATAGAACTGCTGCGACATACGGATAGTTTTACTTCATAATCTTAAACGTGAAAATGTTCAGGTCAAAATATTCATCTTCGAAGAAGACAAAAATTGGTCCCGATTTCTCTGAAACAAGTTTCGAATAAACACCGGGGACGTGTAGTCGAGAAAATCGGTACTTTGGTCAAGAAAACTCGTGTCACTTCTCAACCAATCAGGTGCAAAGCGAAACTCATCATCAATACGTTACGCTCTCACGCGTTCAAAGCTTTGAAACTCTTTACGCTGGCCAATTCACATAATCAACTCAGTTGATAAAAGCAAAATTATCTTATTACACTCCCCCACCGATGCAGCACCAAAGTTTCTATAGAAACTTACCCGCCTCTATATATTTCCCAGATTTGCAATGACCTTGCTTCAAAACAATGGTAGGTGAGAGTATTTATAAACGAGAATGATTATCAATTCTCAAGCAAATGAAACTCACTTGCAAAACAAAGGTTTTGCACTAAAGCTTGTTTTCATGGTGAAAGCTTTTGGAACTCGAAAATAAAACATTAGGTATTCAAGAGATGAAAAAAAAGGTTCACTAGTGCTAATGATGTGGGAATACATGCTAAAGGTTGTTTATTCTTAAACGAAAAACTCTTGATATTTGACTAGGCTTCACTGTTCGTTTCGGGTCAGTACTAAACATAACTTTGACAGACGTCAAAAATTTCTCAGCTTGACGCAACCTAATAGTTTTCTATTGAATGCAAATTAAGGAGTATTGAATGATCATCGAGTACGTAACCAATCACAATAAAGTTTTTTTTTTCAGTGGTAAACAATTTATAAAAGAAAAATGTTTTCCAGTAGGATGTAGTTCCTAAGCACCGTCTCGACAGTGTGTCGATGAAAAATAGTTAGAAACGTAGCGAGATGTTCTGTAAAAAGTGCTGGCACCTTATACAAGGGTAAGTATCTCATCAGAAGACTAGTTTAGTTCAGATGAAGTAACTGTGTTTTTGCAAAAGATATCTTGCATGCGGGCCTCAAGGAAACCTTCCTCTAGTATACATTTGCCATAGAGGGTCAGTGTAATGTCAAATATGAAAATACAACAGCACTTAAGAATTTCCATTCCAAAAAGTTTTCTCAGAAAACATCTGTGTGAACAGACGGAAGCTTTTGGAGCCCGTCACTCACGTACAGAATTCGTCACACAGGTTAGATATTCAGGTAAATATATAAATATAGGTAGAACAAACAACAACTTCAATTGAACCGATTTGAAAATGACATAGATTTTTTGTGGGAAAAAATGAAACATAGGTAAAAAGGGTTCATTCTAAAGACGTTATATAAATTCTCACTCAGTCGGTCGTAAAATGCTTAGGTTACGATGAACAATTCAACCTTACCAGCAGCATATACGTTTCTCCTCTGGACTAGCATTTGTTGAAAAATTATTCATTTATTGATTTTTTCAGCAAATTATTTGACAGTTAACCCAGTGAGGCGAACCAACTTCCCGCATGCAATTGCAATGAAGAATAATCGAAAAGCAGGAAGCATTCAGCAATAATTGATCGCGAGTCTGATGAAATTTTTCCTCAGCAAAATTTTGACTGTCTTAAGGCCTATTTACACGGTACGACTTTGTCGCATGCGACAAGCTTACGACAGGCCTACGACATGACTTAGGACAATTTACACGCGCACGACATTTTCACCTACGACATGCCAAAATCGCGTGCAATTCCACTCGTTTCGGCCGCGGTCATTGTTTCAATAATTTGCAAGAGAAGGAAAAGAACCTCTTCCTCGCTCCACAGTGATATCATATTCTCTGTTTCCTCATCTGAGAATGTATTTTTCGCTTTGGAAGCAGTCTTCGACTTTCCGGAGGCGACTTCCTCTGCCATTTTGACGCAACTGAAGAAAATTTCACCTTCCTCCCCTACTCAGTAGAAATTTGTCACAAAATACGTCATTTTCCATCAATTTCGGCTACGATTGTCGCAGCGTTTTAAAACATGTTTTAAAATCCTACGACATTTTTCGTGACGTGCACGACAGTCGTAAGCGAGTGGTAGGTTTGATTTACACGATACAATTCGTGTCGTAGGCCTGTCGTAAGCTTGTCGCATGCGACAAAGTCGTACCGTGTAAATAGGCCTTTAGAGTACAATGAAACTTATACATTAAGCTTCATACTTGTTTTCTTTTTCTTTGTTTCCTTTGTTTTTTATTTTATTATTATTTTTTTCAATTTCTACTCACAGTTCAGGGATTCTTTCAGTGATACACCAACCGACGGAGAAATGAATGACAGGAGAAACATCCCCTTTCGAATATGTAAGAAATTTTGTTTCCCATGCGCAGTTCTTCTGCTGTTCTCTTCCGCTGTTCTACTATGCAACTACCATTATGGCCGATCTCTTTTCAAGTATAGTAAAGAGTTGATAGAGCCAATCAGGAGCTTGATTCAGAATAAAACGGCACTCGTTACTCTTTTAACAAATCCAAACAAAACAAATTCACCCGAAGTAGTTCGAGCATGGGCCGATGTCAATTCAGCATCATCCGAAGTTCAAAGAGGTTCACGACCTAAGATTTCCACGGGTTCAATTCTAAAGCCAGCTTTGGAAGCTCGGCCGATCCAACGTGTTCAACTAGCGCCGTCCGAAATCAAAACAGGATCAAACCAAGAGCCTCAGTCGGAAGCCCGATCTACTAGCGACGTCCACTCCGTGTCATCAAAAGTAAGGCCGAAGAAGGACCAAGAGGACCGATCTCCTTCCGAGGTTCATACAGTGTCACACTCAGTTCAGACAACTTCCAACTTTCGCTCAACAAATCGTAATTCCCCTGAGTTGCAACGGACTTTTCCGACCTCCACAAATTCCCTTGATGTGGTGTCGACGCCGCAACCCGAACGCCGCCGAAGTCTCCTAATCTATGGAGCCGACCGTTCAGGCACAACATTCACCACCAAAATGTTTGCCGAAGATCCAAAACTTATGACTGTTTATGAACCATTATGGATAACAACCAAATGGAACAAAGAAGACTCTAGTCAAATACCCAATTGGACCAAAAACGTTCTTGATCTTCTTAGAGGAATTTTAAGTTGTAAGTTCGCCGAGACTGCCGCTGGTGTTAAATTCCTCTCGCACACCTCACGGCAATGGAGTGGAGCGTATGTCAAAAACCCTTTTCAGTCTCAAAACTTTTGCCCCAACTGGGAATGTAAAGATCTTTCCAGATCTCCCAAATACGCCGACACAGTATGCCTAACAAAATACAAACACAGTGTAACGAAAATAGGGGAGCCCAGGACACCCGACAGTTTAATTTCATCTTTTCTTCCAAAGGTATTCTTAGAGAATCCAGACACCGACATCCGGGTTATCCAGCTTATCAGGGATCCCAGAGCGAGTTTAAGATCCCGGATTAAGCTAGGGTGGATGGTGGACTGGACGCATTCGAGTTTTCCAAACTTAGTCAGAAAAATTTGTTCAAACTTGGTCGCAAACATCAAGTTTGGCCGAAATCTGGGCAAATGGCAAGACAAGTATTTAGAAGTTCACTACCACGATCTAGCCGGAAAACCGCTGGAAACGACAAGAGCTGTGTATAATTTTGCAGGATTTGAAATGCCCGATAGCATTGCCGACTGGGTGGTTCGCAATACTTCGCCGAGTAAAGAAGAACTGATGAAGGAAAGTAAAAACATATTCTCACCAACTCGAAATTCAACGGCTAATATTGATAAGTGGAAGCAAGATTCTCCAGTCGAAAGAATTCAAATAATTGAGAAATATTGTAAAAAAGCACTTGATCTTCTAGGACTGAAAAAAATGCTATAGAACAAATAACAACTTCAATTGAACCGATTTGAAAATGACATAGATTTTCGTGGGAAAAAATAAACTGCCAATAAATGAAGATAAACAAGTAAATGAAGATAAAGGAAAGGAAACACGAATTATAAACAAAACTGGATCAATTCTTTGAATCACTTCACAGAGATGTGACTGACTAGCCTACGTGTAGCCGTACCCTCCCCCCCCCAAAGTGAAACGGTTCCCGCGCTTCCGTTTCACTTTTCGGGGGGGGGGAGGGTAAGACTACACGTGGGCAAGTGACTGACATGTAACTTCTCTTTACCATCAAAATAGGATATTTAGCAAAAAGGGGAGAAGCAGAATTGACAAACTTCTCAGTTTCGAGGTATAAACTTGATGTAAATCGCAATTCTCTTTACTAAGTTACAAAGCAATACTGTAACAAAGTTACTTCTCTGGTGATGATTAGCTAAAATAATCTAAATCATTCTTTTCATGCTTTTAGCTACTAGAGTAAAAAGTAAATGATTCTTTGCAATGAATTTAGAGGATCATCCTCTACATACAAACAGTTATATTTGAAACAGTGATCAGAAAAATTCGACAACCTGGAATTTGAAGAGTGACATCCTGACATAATATTTCAATAGCGATAATTGGATAAAAATACGTAGAGTACATAGTTTGTATTAAGTGATTTATATCAGTTAATTCTCAAGATTAACTACTTCTTTTGGTCAGTCACGATAATTCAAGGTTTTTCTTCTGCTTCTTGCAAAAACCACCTTAACTGAAAGTAATTTGCGAAATATTCGGTTCGGTAACAGAGCAAACCAACAAAGAGATTATCATGAACCAAGAAGTAACTAGAATTTTAATTGCTTGCTTCTAGCAAAAAATTAATAACGTAGTTTTTGAGTGGGAGCCCCGTATAAGGAATCGGTATGTAACGAAGACCTTAGTGTAACATAATACTTTTAGGCCCTTTGCGGAATTCAGGGAACCTCCCTTGGTTGACACTGACTTGTTAATTGTTAACCCTTTAACTCCCATGAGTGACCAAAACAGAATTTCTCCTTACAATATCAATACAATATCAACTAGATAAGTGATGAGAATAAAGAAAAAGATCAATTTGGGGATAATTAGTTGATCCAATACTAAATTCTCTGAACTATTATTGTAAGAATTGTATGTTTGACACTAAGGAGAATTACAAATTTAATCTGGGAGTTAAAGGGTTAATAACGTAATCACATGATGTGATTTTACTCGGTCGGAGCATTTTGGTGTGTATGTTTTCGTTGCGTTTATGGATCAAACTCTGAAATTCTAGTTTAAACTCGGTTGGATTCACTTAAGCCAATTGTTGTAAGTCGGAAAACGGAATAAATTCATTTTAGGCCCAGTAGTAAAAACGGGCACGAACAAGAACCCAGTGTTACCACATTTTGTACATTCGTCAATTCCTTGGGAGCCCTTCGTAAGGTTGGAGTTTCACTATCCCTATAGAAAGAAGGAAACAAATTGATGTCAATTTTCCACTTGATGTGTGTAACCTTAGCTCGTTAGATATTTAGAATTCTAGCCATTTTAGAAAAAAAAAAAACGTGATCAGAACGCCAGATCAAAGAACCGACACAAAGACCCGAACAAGATTATATAAGCATATGAACATCTTGAGTCACAACAGCTTGGAGTCATGAGAGGGATCACATGGTTTTCAGGGGGAACGGAGTGACGATCGGTCGCCGCCAACAGGGTTTAAAGAGGGGACTATAGAGAATTGACTGCCTATGAGGGGGGCTATAAGAATATTACAAAGGCGTATAGGGGGATCAGGTAAATTTAGCGTGACACGCGGGCTCAGAGATATTTTCAATTTGTAAGTTCGTAAGCAAAGTGACGCGTACAATTATCGCGTGTGCGAGTTTAGTTTTTTCAGAGCCGTTTTTTTTGAGGATTTTTTACGAAGTTTTAGTATTAGTTGTGTTACCGTGTTGAGGTTCTTTTGGACGATTAAACGTGGATTTGTTTTCCGAAGGGTTTTCCGTAATTGCTTAAGGACAACAAGCAAAATTTTCCGACAAGCCCCGGCGATAAATAAGGAAGGATGATATTTAGATTCAAAGAAGATTTTAAAACACGGACTACAAATCATCGAACAAACTTGAAAACTTCGGTAAGCCAAATTTCCAGGAGAAAAAAGCCCGTGACGTAGCTCTTTAAGCGCTTAACCCTCAAGAGAGGCTTGCGTCTAATGTTTCCTTACAGCATTACTTATAAAGCCCCCACTATGAATCAAATATTAAAGACATTTACGTCATGAGAATTGAGAAAGTGATCACTAACTGAAGGAGTTCCTAGTTGTAAACGAAGTCTCCATATTTTCCAAGACACATACGCCTGTGAGGTATCTCTGGTAGGCAGACACCCTCAAGAATTGGAAAAATTGTCCACCAGCGGAAAAGTGTAAATAGAGAGTTTGAATGAAAGGTAAAACGGGGAATTGAAAAAAGTTTCCTAAAGTAAAGCTATTCGTTTGCAAGAGTGTCCGTTAGCACAGGCGGCCCAAGCTCCAGCTGTGAGATGATCATCTTGTACAATAACAGTCATAGCGGAATTATAAGAGTTTGTATGGGAATATTTACGACCGCTCTAAGGAATAAAACAATACGTCAAATTCTCAATAAAAATACCTCACCTTACTTCCACAGCGTATCACTTGTTATCTGATCGCTTTCTTTGATGAAAAGAACCCATTTGAGCGAGTTGTCCATTTCGAGATTTTCAACGTACATAAGAAAAGGGCTTTCCTTATGTAAGTTGAAAACCTTGAAATGGACAACTCGCTCAAATGGGTTCTTTTCATCAAAGTAAACGGTCAGATAAAAAGTGATACGCTGTGAGAGTAAGGTGCATTATTTTCATTGAGAATTTGACGTATTGTTTTATTCCTTAGAGCGGTCGTAAATATTCTCATACAAACTCTTATGATTCCGCCGTGACTGTTATTGTGCAAGATGATCATCTCACAGCTGGAGCTTGGGCCGCCTGTGCCGTTAGCAGAGAGTTGACTGTAATCAATAAACTGATTATATCACCAGATAATTGTATTTTGTACCATCAGTCACCTCCCAGGAAGGGTGGAATCAACCTGTAAGGTGACCCACAGAATACTTCCAGACGATTAAATTATATTTTATACAACTTTGACAGATACCAAATAGATTTTTAAAGTTAAATTGGATAATTTCATTTGTAAAACTGATTTAAGCGATTGCAACTGAGGAGGCGGCGAATTCGGAGCTGCAAACTGTTGTGGGTGGCAAATGTCGTGAATATGAACGTGTCATCATACACGGTTATACAATTATCTTAAAGCCGATTAAGATCTTTACCCCAAGGCATTTCACTCAAGGCTCTCTTGGAGACAAAACATCCCCACTAACTAAAAGCCAAGATAAAACTTGAATGATATAGCACGCGAATACTTTTATTTATCGATCTGGTGGTTATATGTGTGGAAATTTCGACAGGAAAGGTTATAATATTACTGGATTTGGGTTTAAAGAAAAGCACGCGATTGACTATCGATCAATTAAAAAATCAGTGGGTTATTCAAAGGAAACAAATGTACCAATATAGGGGCTATTGACAGCGGTTATCTGTGATGACAACCTACACAGCAACAATTTTAACCCCTTAACCCCTAAGAGTGATAAAGTCCACCATTAAGTCATTTTTCGCCATGATCAAAGTATTCGGAGCAGGCAGCTGGTGACGGCAGATATTTCATAAATTTGAAAAGAATTTTTTATCGTTCCATCAAACTGTCAACAGCCGTGAGCAATTGTTCGAAACTGCCAAAAACAATTAAAGTACCATGTCATGGAAAAATATTCACTGCGGATTTGTGGCATGCGAAACGGAAACAGAAAGGTGGCCTTCTTGTTAACGTACATTGAAAATATTGCTAGCCGAAGCACTTACTTGCGAAATCATTCATACTTTAGAGGTTTTGTCACAGAATTATCACAGATAATATTAAGCATTACGAATAGAGTGTTTCATGAATCCGCTAGTTTCATTGGGAATAATCTGAAGGCTCGGAGAACCAATGTGTATAGGGGCTTGGGACATAAACCGAAGTTACGCGGCGCGAATTTTGAAAAGACAACTGTGCGAGTGTCTCGTAAACCGCAGATCGCGCTTTGAGCGGCCGAACTATAAATTAGTGCCAATTAATATCAAAATGAGCTCAATTAAGAGAGTCAACAATACTCAATATCCTCTAATTTATGGACACAAAAAAACACTGAAAGTGCTTCTTCCATGCAGACCGTTTCGCTCATGATGGGACCGTTGGTTGCCATATTGGGAGATTACTACATTTGAGCTGAAACAAAGAGGCGGAGCTAACCTATTTATAGCGCGGTTTCGTGTTTAATATCAAGGATCAAGGATCAACGAACGGAAAGAGGAAGATATGACTTCATAGCGAGCTGAAAGAAACTTGTGCTCGATAAAGCGGTTGTTTCGTTTTTCTTCTTCAAGTTTTGGTCTCTATGTGGCCGTGTGTGAGAAGACGAAGATCATTTTTGTCGAGATGCACTGTTCCATTTGGTGTAAAGACTTATGTTATTTTCAGTATTTTCATCATGTATCATCTGTTTCGTGAACAAGACAACAAAACTTCAAATTCACCTGGCGTTTTTCGGAAGAATTTTCCATCACTGAACGGATTACTTTCATTGAAACGGTTTAACAAAACTGTCGCTAAAAAATTATCAACGACACGGTCTAACAAGGTGAAGAGTGTCTCTTTAAGGAATATTCCGCGAGATGACAATTCGAGTGTTCCGCCAATTATTAATTCTGGATCGAAACAAAATCTCAAATTCCTTTTTGTTTTACATCATTACGAACAACTTACAAAGACTACAGAAAATTTGCTACAACTGGCTGCGGTGGCCAAGCAAACTGGTCGTGTAGTCGTAGAGCCTTTAGTGCGCGATTCTAGGATGTGTGGTTTGCCTGACGGTTGGTTCGGACAAAGACGGTCGGAGACCAGAAAATTTCATCCGATGTCGCTGTATTTTGATGTGACATTTATGAAAAATTTGCTCAAGAGATCTCGCTATGCCCCGTTGGTTAAACTAGAGACTTTCAAACGGGAATGTCAATCAAGCGTTACAAACACAACATTGCTCCATTTTATGTACAGCGATCGCAAGGAAGAAGAAATGGTACGTTGGTACAAAATATCCTCGGATATTTATCAAAAGACCGAAAGTGCTTTGAAAAAATCCGGCTGGTGTGAATGCAATTTCATCGATAGCGGTCTTAATTTTTCCAATAGAATCGGTAATTTTCACGCCGGGAGACAAATTTGCTTAGACGCCGAAAAAATAAAAAGTCTTCAATTATTCAAAAGTAAAATCCTGAAAGAAGACAAATGTGTTACTATAATTCACTGGCGAGGGATAGGTACACACAGATGCCACTTCGAACCAGAAGTAAATATTGAAAGCCGGAAGTTGGTTTACTCCTTGCGATCGAGCGAATTTGTTAATTCACTGGCGAAAAAAATCATCGACACAATTGGCGAGGAATATATTTCGATTCATATCCGAGCTGAACGACAAATTCTTTGGTATGGATTCGATCGACTGTCACGGTGCGTCGAAGTGCTGATGGAAAAAGTAAAAGACCTTCAACGAAAGTATAAAATTAAGAGAGTCTTTCTGTCATCTGATTTTACACGTTTTGGCTCAGACACATTGCGTACATATACATCACAGAATATTTCATTCGCCAAGAAAATAAAAGAAATATGGAGACATTTGTTGAAAACTTTAAAACCCACAATGCACAATCCAAGTTTTGGAGATGCATTAATAATGGACAGTGGGGTCGTTGCACTTACAGAGAAGAATGTTCTTATAGAGGGATCACACTTACTGACAATTGGCTCTGGGACTTTTCAACAATGGATTGTTGATGGATTTATTGAGAGAAAAATAAATTACAAGCGGAAGAATTGGATAGTCACAAGAATATGTCTCAAAGAGGACAAGGTCAATAATTACAAACCCAGCTGACAGCAATACAACTCATAGACCAAAATGGAATTTCTCCTCTGGATAACAATAGATTTTCTAGCAGAAAGGTGTTGAGAAGAAAGAAAAATATCAGCAAGGAGATGTTGTTTGATTTAACACCATATTTTCATCACTGAAATCCTAGGAAAACATGGCAAACTGCAGATAATTGACATTAGATCTTTGGAGTCAAAGAGTAAACATTGTTCAATATTTTCAGGAGCCTTTACATCTTGCAAAGCTTCTTACTTGTTAAGAAAGCTTGCCATAGACAAAATAATGGATAATATCATATAAATGGAAGAAAACCACCAACATGTTAATTCAACTCCCTACTCGCCTGTTTAAAAATACTTTTCACCTTGATCAGCATGTCAGTCTCACAGTCCCTGTCTCACAGTGCCTCACAGTCCCTGTCATCTAATCAAAGACATATAAAATTAGTGAGGAGAGCATCTCTCCAATTTTTTGCAATAGAATAACATGAGAACAAGAGTAATCTTCATGCAGAAAATCTGAGCTATACTTGAACCAGCTTTCCCTCCCAGGGCAAACTAAACAGCTGCTTCTCCTTACAATATCAATAACTTAAGAAGACAGCTGATCAAAATATCAACTGAAGATTATAGTTTTATTCAACTCTGAAGTTTTACTGTTTCTCCACACAATATTATTAACTTATTGAGAAGAAAAAGAGAGAAGAGAGCTGATCAAAATATTGACTGAGGATAATGGTTTTACTCAACTCTGAAGTTTCAGAACTGACACCAAAAGAAATATTTTAAAGGCCATGTAAACAAGAGTTAATATTCAGATCTTGGGAATAAAATGGTAAACTGTCCTGCAAACAAATTAAAATTGTGATTGACCAACTAAGAATGTCCCTTATTCATTGTAGAAGATAAAGAAAAGTCATTCTAAGTTAGAGAGATGTAATGATTCTTCATTTATTAGCCTATCAATAATTTTCATTTTTATTTTTGGAACAAATTTGGAAAAGGTATTCTGGAGGTAAAAGACAGAAATACTCTATCAAAAATAAATTCAAAACATTATTTGTTAAATCCAGTTTAGGATTGTAAAAAGGAAAAATAAAGAGTACACGAATGAGTGCTTTCCTTGAAAGACAGACTTGTCATTAACCCTTTAACCCCATGAGTGACCAAGACAGAATTTCTCCTTACAATATCAAGCAGACACATGTTGAGAATAAAGAAAAATCTTAATTAGAGGATTATTAGTTGATCCACTACCAAATACTCCAAACTTACATCACAAGAACTGTAGGGCAGACAGTAAGGAGAATTACTAATGAGATCTTGGGAGTTTAAGGGTTAAGGCCAAAGGACTGAGATAAGAATCCCAAATCCCTCCCCTCTAGGAATATAGAGGAAACCTGTTCCTAAAGTGCATTATCAGTGTACATAAATCTAACTGAAAAGGGAGACATCTACCAACTATCAGTGAACAATCACTCAATGTGTTAGCCCCTTGATAACTTTTAGGCAGCCCACTACTGCCAGATATTTATTTAGTAGTCAGCCAATTGGCCATCAATGCCATTAAATATTAGCTTCTATATCAGCTGATTTAAGACCACATTATCTGGAAGCAACCTTTTTATTCACTACAAAAGAATTGTAGTTGTCTTTCATCTAATGACAGCTCTGTGTATTTATGTCCTCATCAGCTTTAAAGAAGAATAATTATATAAGTTATTTACGAGCTGAAAGGTCTGTTCAGTGAAACCTGTAGCCTCAGGCTTAAAAATTGCTACCTTCAGCCTACTGCCTTGTTCAGACTTGGCTCACAGTATTTCACTATATGAACCTCTCCGCTAGGAAATAACATACATCTATTAGAACCGGGTAGTGTTACTCTCCAGTAAGGTACAAGGTTATGTATTACTGAAAGCTAAAAATGTTTCAGATGTTGAAGATGGTCAATTTTTTTTTATAAGTTCATATGAAATGATCCATCTCAGACCGATGAGTTCATTAGGAAGTACTACATTTCTGTAGGGCCTGTAGCTAAGTTACTTAAATTTTCCCTCACCGCAACACCGTTCAGATCGAGGAAGCTTTGTTTACATGTATCAACAGCGACTGTTGTAGCTCAGAAAATTTTGAGAAGACCTCATTTGATGAAGAGAAGTTTCAACGCCGACGCCGTAATTATTTCTAGTTTGGGATACAGATTAATCACATTTTAACTGGCAGAGGAAATTTTCTTTGCGAAGACAATTCAAGAAGACCGCCATTGCTCGAAGAGCTGTAAAATGAGCTTGCATCACATGGGAACATTAGAGCAAGATCATTGGTTAGCCTTAGTTTGCCTAAAAAAACATTTTTTTTACTCTCAGGGGTCCTGCGGAGTCAGACGCGCTCTTAGCTGGGACTGGTGATTTTTAACGGTAAATTTTATCGTAAATAACATTATAACTATCCTTCGACGTTCCTTTTGTTACAATTTAGTTTTATGTGCATTATTAGATTTCTTCGATTGATCATTAGTTCCACTAAGCTCTACGCCAAAAGAAAGAGGAAAAACAACGATGAGAGACTGAGTACAAATCTACCGTATACCGCGAAGAGCTTGTGAACTAGTAACGAGGGGCTTTAAAAAAATGGTGGCAGTAAGATATTGGTAAGTACTTCCCTATTGAAATGTTAAACGATTCGTCGTAGATTTGCATATTCATGATGTGACGTTTGTCTAGATTAATTGTAAACATTGGTCCTAGTGGCTCTTCAACGGAAACGGAAAAGATAAAGCAAAACGTAACAAGATAAATTGGTCCATTTCGTTTCATTTCTCAATTTTCCACGTGTGTTTGCAGTACCTTGAACCTCTTAAAATGGGAAATCATAAAATTCAGTGGCATTTGATCATGGATTTCGTATGCCTTGTCGCTCTGGGTGTTGCGGAGATGTTGATCCATGTCATCCCGATAGAACCATCTCACAGAGGATTTTTTTGTGATGATAAAAGCCTTCAAAAACCTTTACAAGAAGAAACTGTCTCTACATGGCTCACGATAGTTGTGGGTTTCTCTGTGTCGATTTCCGTGGTAAGTGTTTAACTTGATATTAACTCAATTACATTTTTATTTACAGGCTATTATGGATTTACTTGAACTACGTTGGTCAACATCTCTTAGCAAATAGCCACTAAAGTCAATACAAACAAAATTACTCCAACAAACTCCTAGACCTGCTAAGAATGTTGCTGTAAACGTTTTTATACTCAGAATATATTCGCATGATCTTCACAACGGAGTAAGTGGAGGGCAGTCATAATTTTTTAATAACACGCTGTGAACGAACATTTATTTGTTTTGTTTTATTTTCAAACAGTGAACGCTTTACCCAATCACGTTCTAGCCGTTTGAACTGTGACAACTTCTTTATCCATTGCCTATCTTCGATACTTAAAAAAAAACCTAATCACTTTCGATGTTACCAAACTTTAATGAATTGCGCAACTGATTTCTTTTATCGGCAGAGGCGTGAAAATAGAATATGTATTTCTAATTTGCCGGAACGAGCCAATACCGACTTTCCATTGTCAAACTTATTCCTACTAACACAAACGTTTGAGTTTGTGCCATTTTGATCCATTTGAATTTGTAACTTTCACTCTATTTAACAGCAGTCACGATTAAACTCCTGTGTTGAAGCATTCCCTTATTTCCTGCCAAGCCCTGAAGAAGAAATGCAGAGGTGTTTTCACACAGATATTACTCGCCCAATAAAGTATTGATACTCCTTTGAACAACATAACGACAGATGCAGTGAAGCATGAAACACCCTTTGTCGTCTCATTTCAGTTCATTGTTTGAGCAATAAGTATCTTACATTTTATTTTCACTAAGATTATTCTGTGTGAAGCAGTGAATGCTAAATCTAAAAGAAGAAAACAGCAGCTTAAAGTTGGCAAATTCAACATCAAATGTGGACCATTGATATGCACACCAACAGCATGGCAAAGAAGGTGATTTATAGCTCTTACTTGGCCCCCAAGACTATCTTTCTTGTAGATATGATCACTTTTATCATGTTAAATCCTCTTCTAGTCCACCATAAGAACTAACAGCACTTATTAAGGAAAGGTCAAGAGCAAAGATCTCCTTAAATAGACAAGCCAATTTTTGGATCCAACACCTAAGAGAATTAACAAGTACAACCTGTACTCAACAGCCCCCAATCAGAGTCTGTTGGATAATTGCCTCCCTCACTTGTTATTAGGTTATATAACTTCTGTAACTTTCTAGATCTTATTTTTATAAAAAGAGGGATATTTTTGGAAGGTGGTCTATCTTGCAGAGGGTCTTTGACCCTTCTATAAACCTTAGTACAAGCTAGATTTTTCTGTAATAATATACCTTTTTCGCTTTCATTATTCAACTATATTTTACCTGCAATCATTTATTACCATATTGGATGGTTTTTTTTTTTTTTCCATTTTGAAAATTTCTGGATCATAATATATGAAATATACAAATATAACCAGTCTGCTATGCATGTTTATTATAGGCTTGACTGAGAGGACATTGTTATTGACAGTTGGTTTTGAGTCACTTCTCTATTTTTAACCCTCTGATCCCAAAGATTGACCATTGCTTAATTTCTCCTCACAGTTCTACTGTGGAATCATTCATTAAGATTATGAAATTAAAGGAAATGATCGCCAGTCTAATAAGCATTGATTGTTGAATGAATTCTCCTCATCAGTTTCAAAGAAAATGCATAGAATAGAGTATAGAGAATATGAATGCTGACATTAACGTGCAAAGGGTTAATAATTTAAATAATGTAACTATACAAAAATTTAATATGTTTTAATCAGGTTTAATTTTTGCTTCTCTGGTTATTTTACAGAACATTCTTTCTTCTTTTCATGTTTGGTTTTGGTGCACTTATTACAAACCTGTTCACTGACATGGGTAAAGTGACTGTTGGAAGATTGCGACCATACTTCATTGCAATATGCAAACCCAATGCAACTCTACTTAACTGTAGTCAAGGCTTTATTACAGAGGACATATGCACAGGAGATCCTGTAGATGTTTTGGATGCAAGGTAAATACTATAGTTGTCATGCAATACAACAACATTTTCTAAAGAATTATGTCAAGTCATTGCTCTTCCCCCTTGATTTTTATAACTGACTAACACTGGTTAGAGTCAATGGGTTTTATTTTTGAGAAAACAACTATAATGTCATAATGCCTTTCTCCAACTTTGAGTATAAACTAGTTTAGCTCATTGGTAGCTCTGTTTCTAATGTTACTTTTCCTAACTAATCCCCTTGCTGTATTAATTGTTTTACCTTTCAGAATGTCTTTCCCTTCAGGTCATGCCTCATTTTCAACTTATTGTATGGTATTTTTGGCAGTAAGTATTGTTTTGTTTCTGTCACTAGTCAGCCAAGTAACCTGATACCAGACCTAGAACATCACAGGCTCTGCAGGTGGAAGTGACATTTATCTTAGAATAATGTTGTACCCATATTGGTAATGCTCATAATCTCACACTTAAGACTTGTTTAGGAGTATCCTTAGTTATTAAAAGAATTCCTAAAAACATAAATGGGTTTCCAAAATATACAGAAAGCTTCCTTCCTAAAGTGCATAAGATTTGGCGGGTAAAAGTTTTTTTATAATTTTCCAACCTTACATTTGAAATCTCTTATTTAAGTATAGTTACTGGGGTACCCTCGACTCTGCTGGTAATTTTGTCACGAATCAGTTATTTTTTTATTTACAGCTGTATCTAGAATCATCAATGCCAACAAAACAAACCAACTTGGTGAAACCCTTTTTGCAAGTGGCCTTCCTGTCACTGGGACTGCTGTGTTCACTGTCTCGTATATTTGACTACTGGCACCATTGGGGAGATGTGTTGGTTGGCATGTTTCTTGGTACCCTAGTGGCTTTCTTTATAGTAAGTGTCCAATCGCAACATCTGAGCATAAATTCTTACTTCAGTCCCCACTTGTTAATTTCCAGAAGGAAATCTGGAAATCTTTTTCATTTGACCTGCAACAGGTCAGCATTTTACTTACTCAAAATCAGTTCATGCTTTGGAAATTGGGATGAATTCTAGAATTACAGGCTTCCTAGCTCCTGTGCAGTCTGCAAATATTAATATATGTATGATTTGTTGCCTTTTTTTCCAGACGTTCCGATCACTGAGGCTGTTTTCCTCTCCTCCCTGCCCCAAGTGTTACCCTACTGATGAAGTTGACTTTGTATCAAGAAACCCTGTGAACAACAGTGAGGAGAGAGCAGATCTGAATGGTGACAATCAATTTCCACTGTAGCTTCACGTTGTATGTCAACAACTGGATCATTTACAGAAAGCACCTGCCTAAATTATAGGGTTATACTCTACGCAGGGATGCTTCTCCCACAAATCAATACCCATTCTAAGCTTAGAGGTATATGAAAGCATACATCTTAAAGTTTAACTCTAAAGAAGTAGTGTTGTGATTGGCATGTCTCTATGGCAAAAGAACTCTAGGAGGTGTATGTCTAATTTTTTAGGGGAATTTATAACAAGATATGATTTGCCTGATAACTCTTTAGATATTCAAGCAACATCCAGCACACAAATGTAGAGGCTGTGAAAGACAGATTTTAACTTTTTGATGAAATTTCCCATGAATATTTGAAAGGTTTTATATAGCAAGAAGTATATTGACAAAAGTATTTTAGAAATTGTAGCTTAGTGTAAAAAAATTAATTAAGAGAAGTGAAACTTAAAGGAATGCTCAAGGAGAAGATTTAAAATTTTCAAAAAATTTTTATTATGAAATCCACAGCAGGGTGCATAGATTTCTTAATAATGGTAATATTGGAAATGAAACTTCAATTGATCATCCATGAGCAGCAAGAAGTTATCATGCAGATGGAAAGTATTTTAAATTATATTAAATTATTGTTATGGGAGGTTTTTTTGGTTGTTTGTGAGCATTTTGAGCAGTGGAGAAATTAAGTGTAAACATTGTTCTGTTATGCGTGCAATAATGCTACAAACATTGCAATTAGGGGTAGCTGACTGGTTGACGATGGGTCACTGATAAGTCGGCCATATATAGTATTTCAACATCACTATATAAGTAAATTAGCTTGTTGAACTCATTTTGTTTCAACACATTTAGACTATATATTAATAAATTTTATAACATAGCTAGTAAATTTGTCTAATCAAATTTAATTGCGCGAGCGTGCTTCGTATTCCCATATTGTGCACGCTCATGGCGTCAGCAAACAAATCCCTCGAGAAAAAAAAATTTCCATCGGGTTGAAAATGTTATAAAACAATTGGTTCATACGTCATCTGTGCGTTCATCGAGATATGAAGCACTTGGGAAGTTTGGAGAGCACTCAAGAAGCTAGAGTTGCTCTCGGCTACACCTCGAGCAACTCTTACGCATCTTTTGTGCTCTCCAAACTTCCCGCGTGCAACATATCTCGATGAACGCACGCTGACGTATGAACCAATTGTTAAATTTATTGAATTGTTGTTGAATCCAAATCTGCACTTTTGCAACTTGGTGAACCACTCGTTTGGGTATTTAATAGTTAAAATTGCAATATATTGCGTTTTCTATCTAGAGGATTGTTATTTGACATGCATTTGCCCAAGTTGGCAAATGGTAGTTTAAAATGTCTCATCTTGATGGCTGTTTCCACATACATTGGTTAATTGCACCTCTTTGTGGATTGTCTAGTGAAAATCAAGCAACTTTAAGTGGGTTAGCTACCAACAAAACCAACAATTAATGTGACAGTACGACGACTTTTGGATTGCTGTGAGTTTTTTAGGGTTATTTTCCAAATCAGTCGCTTGTACTTTTAAAGAATTTTTTTTTCAGCGTTTTGGAGAAGAGGGACGATAATTCTTAGTTCTCCTTGACGGTTAATTGAATGCAAATATAATAAAAGTGAGACGCAGTTATGGACAAATGATCAAGCATGTTTAATGTTTTTACTGGGATGTTCCTACACTTGTGGTTTTGTTTCGATATTAGAGACGAACGAATTCAAAGCCACATAAACTTGATAAATAAACTCCAATTTGCATGATTGTCTAAATCAATTAATCTTCTTGTCTTCGTGAGCTTAACAAGGGATTACTTTACGAAAATTCCTTCAAGAGAGTTCAGATGACCAGCTTAAATTCGAACCCTTGAAATGAAAAGATACGGGTCTCGGTTAATGATCTATTTTGTTATTATGGTCAGTTGTTGAGCTAAGCGGCTCGCAAATAACTAAGAGTTCTGTATTATCAGTTACTATTAAATAGATTATTCATCGCAGCATTGAAAAAAAACTGTTGTTAACAGCTTTTAAAGAAGTTCTTAAAAGGCACGGCGATTCTCTGCCGTCATAGAGAACAGCTATAGTCACTGCAAGATAATTTGATTATATCAACTAAGTGAGAAGTGTGAACTTGCTATCGTGAAGAGCTTCTAAGGCGTTTCGAGCGTCAGCCCTTTTTCAGAGCTCCTCGTCTTTCGCCCTGACGAAAGGCTAAAGTTTCAACTTCAGCTTTATAAAATCTTTTCGGTGCCAATTCACTTTATCGGCAACTCAGCTGATTAAGATGAATTAACTTGTAATGCTCCCCACTCAGCGCCACGGTTTCTCTCGAAACTTACCCTCTTTTATACTCAGCGCATTCCTATTGAAAAGCAGTGATGCATTAAAGGTGCAGTTATTTGCATATTACACGCTTGGAGATAATCCAAATGCGAAAGTCTGAGTAATTCAGCGAAAGGGTTAACCTTGCGTATCGATCTCGTTCACAAACTAAGATGGCTCGTGACTCTAAAACCATCAATGTCGCCTTTGATTTCTTATGTTTTATTCTAGTACTAATTGATTATTTGGTGACGAAGACTTTGGTGTATGGTACAACTGATAAGCTATACCCGATTAAACAGGGATTCTTCTGTGAGGACAAAAGTATTCAGCTGCCGTTTAAGGAACCTTGGATGGACTACGCAGGTCTCTGTGCGCTGGTTTATATTGTTCCCATAGTTGTGGTGAGTAAATCTAGTACTAATTCCATTAGAAGTGATAAAACCAAGGAAAGCTACACAGAAAGACGGTCCAATCGAATTTGTGCATTTAGAGGAAAATTTTATCAATGGTAATTCTTTGTTTTGACCCCGAAGCTATTTGAAAATTGTGGGTTTTATTTTCAGTCTTAATTACCAAAGATCTAAAGTTAAAACCTTTAGGTTAATCTCACAGAAAGTCGTTCATTTCCGACAACATTTCTCTCTTCTTCTCTTGGATCATAATCAAAGATTAAGCGTTGTTAACAAAGAATTCCATTGGGAAGATCTCTCTCACTATGCTTCATGACCATGAGCTGAAAACACTTTGCAGCATCCTGAAAGGTACTGCAGAGTTTTGTCACTATCGTTCTAAAGCTTTCTTTCTTTATAACCAGAAGCAATGACTGCCAGAAAATGGCGTCTTTAGACTTGAATTTTCGTTTTTTACCTAGAACTCAAAACTACAAAAAGAACAGCAGGACTAACAATGCCACAGATCGCGCTAATCATCATATCCCAAAAAACCCATCCATCAAACGTGGGATATAGTAGCCATCACCGGCAGTCAAATTTACCAAATATTTCCGTCTTTCCCGAACAAGATCATAGATTCTAAAAGTCGATCAGCTGAGGTCTTTCTCTGGTAAGTTCACTTCCAGAAGGATAGGAATGCAAATTATTTTCTGTTTTGTTTAAAATTAGTCAACCAAAATTGAAGTATCTAATTCTAAAACTTAAGCGCTCTAAACCTCTACGAATTCGACATTCTACTGCCACAGGGATGATTCGAATTTCGTTGATTTCCTCGTTGTTTTGAGCTTGAATTTTGGGTAAAACTACAGAATACAAGGCAACTCATTTACATCTCATTAAATCACTGTTAATCCTATGGCGTCATAGCCTTGTTCTTCAAAGCATGCCGACGAGGTAGACCTCAGTGTCCCTGTAATGTTTAGTTGCTCATTTCAAGATACTCATCTATGTTGATGAGATGTGAAGCAAGTTTAGGAGTACCTAATTCAGTTCCTTGATTTGCCGTATTGAAGTCGATCTATCCACTGCGAAGTTTTTCACAAGAACTAAAAAATAATCCTACAACAGCTCAGTGATTCTATTGTTCTCTTTGTTAAAAGAAGGCTTAATTGATTTTAGTGGGCATTTGGTCTCCCCGTAATCAGGGAGTGAATACACAAATACCACAATTGTTTACGGAATATTTTCGAAGGAAGGAGATCTCAGGAACTCATCAAGCAGTGTTGTGACAAATGCGTTTTCAATCAGTGAACATTTCACCAAGCTGTGTTGACAGAGTACTGACGCCAGCTACGTTTTAGCGAGCCCTATTCATCACAACTTAGAAATCTTTTGCATTTTGAACGTCAAAATGTAAGAGTTACAAGAATTATCTTATCATCATTTCCCGCCACACTATCCGATTTGGGAAGGGTGGAGTGGTGAGAGGGGCTGGAGGGATTGGAAGGGTAGAAGGGGTGGGAGGGGTGGGAGGTGAGGCCAGAAAGACGTAGAGGAATGGAAATTATTTTAGAAAACGGAATAAAAAGGTCACTAAGGTCCCAAGGTTTGGAACACGTTACCCTGTGATCTCACCTTATCCCCTAGATATTCTAACTTTAAGATCTTACTTATAAAATTCCTGATCAAAAGAAATCTATGTTAAACTTGCCCTTCCTCCAAATATGAATTATTAATTTGTGGGAAATAAATAAATTAGCGAGGCGGACCTGGGAATGTGTAGAAAGGAAGTCAGAAAAGAGAAGGAAGAAGCAGAAAATTTGGACATACTCGTGGAGTTAATATAAATACTGATTTCTTATACGAATGAGAGGATCCCATCTTTAACTAAGGCGCTTGTTCTGCCAGATTGACTGACTGATCATTAAATAACCAAAGTGCAATGTTTCCATCCAACGCTCACAGATTCTGATAGTTGAGTCCTGTAACAACTGGAAACGATCAGGAGAAATAGATGAAGAGGAGGAAGAATCCTTTGGGCCAATCACCATAAAGCCCTGGATTGTCAGGTAAAAGGTCCAATAACAACTTGAAACACTCTCCCTAGAAACTTAACCCTTTACACTTGAATATTAGTAGGCATATTCTCCGAACTGTTTCCTATACATTTGTTACCTATTACCCCCAAATCACATGTTACGGTAATGAGAGTAAAGGAAATGATCACAAACTAAAGAAGCTCTTGATTGTTAAACAAATTCCTCTTGTCAGCACATTAGGAAATGTATGGAGAGCAGTTCGAGAATGTGCAAACTGATATTAGGTTGGAAAGGGTTAAGGGGGCACTGAACACCGATACAATTCCAGATCACTTTTGACACTCTATTGAAGATCTTACTTACATAGTCCGAATTCAGATCTAATCTTCTTTTGGTATTTTTTATTTTCAGCACGATTGCCTTGATATTTGTCTTCGTGTTTGGCGGATTTCTGAATGAAATCATCACCGACCTCGCCAAGATAAGTGTGGGTCGGCTTAGACCCAACTTCAGGGATGTGTGCCGGGCCAACTTGACTCAAAGTGATTGTCAGCAGGGATACATCTCTGATGGGATGTGCACTGGGGACGAGTATAACGTCAAAATGGCCAGGTAAGACAAGAGGCTGATATGAGCTTGTCAGAACAAATGTTCTAAAATGTAACTCAGTATGATTAACTTAGAAAGCACGTTACTAGTATCTGAGAAATAGTTTGCAAATTGATTTTAACTTTACAAATGCGTTATCGAATAACGACGTAAGATTATGCTAAACAGATTCTCGAACTATTTGAGTAGTAGTAGACATATGAAAAAAAATTAACTGAAAAGAGATACATCTAAGTGTTTTAACTGTTGGTTTTGGATCAGATTTTCCCTTTCATACATGATCCCTTGTTGAACGTCAGACACAACTCCAATCACCCTGCACAGTCACATTAACCAATCAGAAGACAAGAAAGTATGGGGGGGGGCACCACCAGAAACCAATTACCGATCAGAATACAAGGAAGTACGCCAGGCGCTAGAGTAAAATTTGAGATAAAAAATGCGTAATGCTCGGGAAAACGCCAGTTACCGAGTCTTACTCATTGAAAAAATGGTAACAGTATCACTGTTTTTAATAAATATTTATTTCACAGGATGTCTTTCCCATCCGGCCAATCTTCTTTGACCATGTATGCCATGTTGTATCTTGCGGTAAGTGTGCATGTCCACTCAGTCTCAAATGATTCCCTCCGCTCTTGTTTTATTTCCCCGTTCTACATGAGTAGCTTAGGAAAAGACTTTCCCACCGGGTTCGCACCCGGTATACCATCGTTACCTCACCGATATCCCTCAAGGTTCCCCCGTACCCCATTAGGGTTCCCCGCCGGGAATCTTAGCGGTATTTTTGAAGAAATTTCTTCATTCACACAACAGCATTGAGGAGAGAAAAATTCTCGGCATACCGGTTCGTCTACAAAGTCTTGTTTTCAAAAGTTTTTATTAAATTTATAAACTTCTCTCCCTCCCTCCAAGCAAAGTCGTGCGTTCACTTAAACTATGGATGGTGGATAGAACTTAAGACTGTATTGACGATGAAAAGGGAGAGAAGAGGTGCCAAACAAGCTGGCAAGTAAACAATGGAGCGTACAAAGACTCTGAGCAGTCAAAAAAATCCTAAGGTGTCTTGGTTCTCTCGTGACACTAGAGTAACAGGACATTTTTCTTTTTTTCGTATGTAGTTTTATATCCAGTCAGCTGTGAAGACAGAAACGAAGCTGATTAAGCCATTGCTCCAGATCGTGGTCGTGTCTCTGGCGCTCTTCCTGGGACTGAGCCGAATCGCTGAAAATGCTCATTTCTTGAGTGATGTTGTTGCTGGTTTCGTGCTTGGAGCCATCATTGCCTGGCTTATGGTGAGTTTCCCTTTACAGATCACAAGAAATCAAGATATTTCAGAACCGTGGCATATCAAATTAAGTGAAACGCCTTTTTAATGACTGTCGTCTGTCGCTCTTTTGACTCTCTGTCTGTCTGTCTCTTTCAACAGTCTATCAGTATTTCCTTCTTCCTTTATCGTTTTATGTCTGTCTAGCATGTCACTTCGTATGTCTGTCGTTGTCTATCACTGACGGCATATACATATATTTATATATATCTGGTCTCTGTTAGCCAACCATACAGACAGGCTATCTCTCATCAAAGTCTCGCTCGTTTTGCTCGTCTGTATCTATAGCCAACCTCTCCGTCAACCGGCAAGCCTGTCTTTCTGTATCTGTCTGTTTGGCCAACTGATTAACTGCTGTCTAGTCAACTCATTGCTGTCGGACTAATTGAATGACTGACAGATGTCAGATTTAATGACTGACATATGTCTGATTCAATGTCTGCCTGACTGACTGATTGACGCAAGCTGTCTGACTGACTACATGTTCTTTTTTTTCTCTCTCTGTCCATTTTTCTGTTAGCCAGTCTGGTCAGATTGTAATTTTGTCTCAAGAGAAGTTGTAACTCAAGCCAAAATCTTTCATCATTAACTATGTTCAAACCGTAATAAGTTAAGTTTCTAAAGAAGGGGCGGGGGGGGGAACAAGATAATTTGGTTTTAGCAACTGAGTTGGTGATGTAAATCGGCTACCGTGAAGAGTTTCGAAGCTGATGTTTCGAGCGTTAGCCGTTCGTCATTCACTCTGATGCAGGGATAACGCGTGAAACGTCAGCTTTAGAAACCCTTCACAGTGGCCAATTTACATTATCTACTCAGTTGATAAAACCAAACGATCTTGTCATGTTCAAACCAAAAGGCTTAAATTTAAATGTTACGACAACGATCGTCGTACATCAATCATTAGTTAGTGATGTGAGAAACCCAAAAGGAAGATCGGCTTTGTAAGAAGATGAGCATATCCCTGCATTGGAGTCAAAATAAAACTTTTATACATGGGTATCAATGTTTCTTTTCCTCGTAGACTTTCAAGGTGCTGAAGTTGTTCGCCATTCGAATCCATAAGCCTAAAGTTTACACTTTGTTACCACAGCAGTCGAGGCAGATCTCAACTGAGGACTAAGAAACTGGCGAGGACTTCCGAAAACGGAATACCAGATACTTTTGTGTTATTTAAATAACCCTTAACACCCTCACATCCGTATGAATACTGCACCTTAAACGTTTTCTGTGCCACTTACAAGGAGAATTTGCTTGACTATCACGAGTGTCTTAAGTTTCCGATCATTTCCACATTATCATATATTATTGCTATTATTATCATCATTATTACCTTAATTTTTGATGCAGAAGTGATACTGTGAGGATACATCAGATCCCAGTCTTCTGCCGAAACATCTCTTGTATCTTTAGCTCTAATTATTTGGCGTCAAGTCAAGTAATACAAATACTCAGAAACAAAACTTTCACTAGAAAGTGTCTATTGAAAATTAGGATTCAGTACAATATTATTCTAAGTGAAAAGTTTACGAGAGCACATTCTTGTAGCAGAGGAAGTCTTTCCTTTCATTCTCATTATCTTGGTTGTGTCTTTATTTAACCTTTTACATTATAACATTGATATTTATACTCTCCAAACTGTTCTCTTTACCTTTCTTCTAGCAATTACAAGGAGAATTTGTTTGACAATCAGGAGCTTCCTATATTGGTGATCGTTTCCTTATTATTAGGCGGACCTATGCATTTGATTTCAGGGTGATGCTGTAAGGATAAATTAGAAGCCAGTCACTAAGCCTTATGAGTTAACTGGTTAATGAACCGAAATAGGAATTCAGCCGAAACTTATCAAAACCCAGCTATGCCATTTTTCGGGCGCTCCGTAAACTGCATGATCAGTGATAATAAAAACAAAAGCACTGCTTGCATGGACTATGAAACATTAAAACGGCGATAACTGTAGATGAAAAACAAAAAGACCCTCTGGCAAGAAATTGATGCTGTAATCATGTTATCTATTATTGTAATCTGCTAGAGAAAAATATTGGTTTTGACAGATCACGATATCAAATGAAAAGGGATGTGTCGTTTTTTGAGACTTTCGTTCAATTAATAAAAATTTCGTTTAGTCCCATAAACTAATTGAGTGGATTTCTTTTTTTTATAAAATGACACCTGAATTACGAATGCGTGTGAAACAACAGCTGATTCAGCACCCGCTAATTAGAAAACTGGAGTTTAATTCTAGAAGAGAAGATCAAGTTTGAGGAGTGGAGATGGTGGAGGCGGTGAGGCGGCAGTGACTTGAACATCAAGGACGTTTGTCACATGGCCTTACCGCACCTATCACGTTTCTCTGTGCAGCGGACGGGCATCCGACAGCGAAGAGAAGATCTGAAGTTCGAATCATTAGGCGTCAAACAGAGTTTTTTTTTTTTTTTTTTTTTTTTTTTTTTTAATCTCTGAAGCCATCGACCAAAACAATTTCAATGCGCCATCTCATGTTCTCCCGTGGTAATCCTGTTTTGGACTTTCAGTTAATGAACTTTAGACATCCAATCATACTACCTAATACGTGTGTTGTCTTTTCTTTTTTCGTGGGGTCTTTATAATGGCATCTCGCATTAATTTCTTCGCCCTTTAATTTCAAACTTTCACGAAAACCTCGTGAAAAGATAGAGCTAATTGGATTTTTTTAAAGTAAGTAACGAATTTTATTACACTTTCTATAAATTTGTCTTTACTTCGCTACAGTTTCATAAAAAACATTGGATGAAAGATGCGCGATTAAGATAAATCTATTTCCGTTCGGTTCCATCGCAAATGCTGCAATCTGATTGGTTTAGTACTCTGCTATCTATACCTTGATAGACAGCGAGTGAACTGAATGACCAAACAGAGTGTGGTTGAAAAAAAAATAAAGAAAAAGAAAAAATAGGAGCCTGGTTTGTCGCTGAGTTTTGAACAGCTAGTAGATTTATACTTAAACAATTAGATTATTCGCTCGCGAATTCCATGCGTGATACTAAATTCAGACTTCGTCTTCGTACGATCAACCATCACGCGATATTAATTTTGTCTTCATCATCTAATTGCTAACTTTAGTAATAGGCATGTGATGATCACGCAATAGTCCTTTTCTGTCAGCTCTAGTTCAAATGATTCCCTTAATTTTAGTAAACTAGATTCCGGAAAAAACTGGTAACCAGCTTACGAAAAAGACAAAATTTTGTGCCAGGTGACTTCTTTCCATAACAAAGAGGACTTTTATCTTGTGAGCATCGCAAAAATTTGAAGCTTAAAGGGGGTAAGTAGAATTAAGAAATTCCTATGCATTTTGTTTACATTTTTCAAGCTGCTTATTCCAAAGGTCGTATGATGTCAAAGCCCTTGTTTTGCTCTAGAAAGGTTCATGTTTTTATTCAAATTATACCAAGCTCTCTACAGAAACAAATAACTTTCACATCGAGTATAAACATTAGGTCTGAGCATCAATAAGTGACATCATACAGAAACAACATTCTCTTCCGGAAACAGAAGCCGGGCGTTAATCAGACATAAACGTTATAGATACGGGTCATTCAAATCACGTTTGACTTATTAGTTAATCTTGAAAGTTAAACATTGCAGTTGCTCTGTGCCAAGTCTTTCGATTTCAAAGAGCTATAAAGTAATTTATGATTACTGTTCATCAAGTTTGACTCGTCAGCTTTTAGCAATATTTTGCAACAGGCCACCGCCATGAGAAAGACTTCCTCAACAAAGCCGCGGGAACTTTATATCCTGCCTGTGTATCTCACAGAGCCCGATTTATGACCGATGCCTTGCAGTTAAATGAGTTTCTGTAATAAACTCTTTAAAAATATGTAATTGAACTTAGCGACATTTGCGCTGTAAACTTTAGAGTTTACTTCATGCAAGAGTGCTTAACATTGGCAAAAAAATTAAAACGGAGGTCAGCCTGTCTCGTTATTCGCTCGACTGTTCAATCTGAGTGTTTTCAAATTTCGCCTTGCGTTAATAAGATTTTGTTCCTAATGTGCACAAAAAGCTGAATATTCTCCTTCCTCTAGCGCCAGAAACAAGGTCTTTAATCGCTTCGAGGCTCCATACAGAAAACCGTCACTTTCGATTGCATTTAACACCAATAGGAGGATCAAGAAATATTTTTGTGCGTTGAATTTTTACCAGGCGACTTGACTACGAATACGAATAACTTTCATTATTTGTGAACTTGCGAGCCTTTGGCTCGATGTGCTCATCGAGGGTCAAGTCTACCCTTGGGTACGCCGACGGAGATTGATGTTACTCGTGCATATTTACACTACCCACTCCCCCAATGCAGCAAAATTGTCACTCCGATTATTTTCTCGATCAGTTACGAGCTTTTCCGCCTCCCTTCGGCCAAAGTCCCTGAGCGCTACCAATAACAGAAGGACTTTTGTTTAATGCTTAACGGAAAAGTTGAGCCGGAACAACAGACCATTCTTGATACGTGTCACCCGAGTCACAAATTAGAACGAATGTTCTTAAATAGATTTGGTTCAAGAGAATGTTCTATAATTTTTGCCTAGTTGTTTCTCGTTGAAAAATTTCGGTGTTTTGTCTAAGCTTGGTGGCACGCTATAAGAGCCAAAGTTAACTTCAGTTTCACGTTTATGGGAAGGCACACCCTAACCAAATTTTGTCAGTCAAAGCTTGATTGACGGGCGTTTGTAAAACCCGTGACTAAAAAACACCTTTGAAAAACTGAAAGGAAAGTTTCGACCCCATAGAGCGAGACGCTTGTGTCCGTGACATTAAATAAAGTTTTTGTGTGTGTAACCGAAAAAAGAGTTTTGTGATGTTCATCTTTCATCATTGAATTTTTATTAGCTGGACTTTCAATAACTTTTTTCATAAGTGATTACCAATGGTGCACATATTGGGCAGCTCTGGCCACAAAAGGGGCAGTAAGGCAAAACCCAAACCTCGCAGGCTAACCAGTCAGCGGTAAGATGTCTTATAGGTGGTTGTAGACCAGTTGTTACCGGCTTTTAATGAAAATCCTGTATTAGCAAAATATGATCCATCTTTCCACCAAGTTTTCAAAAACTCTGAGCTTTAGAGCCACCTTAATTTTTTATCAAATTAATAAGGCGGGTCTTAAATACATCGAGAGAGATTTTTTGGGTTATGGTTGTTTCGTTTATCAAGTGGGCGTCGCCTCTAATTAATAGGTTTATTGGATGACAAGAATCGTGATTGACATTAAAATTCTATACATTGATTTAAAAGCGTTAGGTTATTATGTTTCAAATCAGTTTTCGGCAGAATCGAAATAAGAAAGAAGTTTTTTTAATTTTATTTTTCTGTCTCTAAATTCGCTTACCTGGTGAATCTGCTAACCTAGAAGGTGAGACTGTTGTAACGACCCGCACAGAAGTAAGTTTACATTGAAGTTTTTTAATTTAGCTACGAGATGAAGACTTGATTTGCGTTTGTTCTGATTGCGAATTTTAAATATATTTCTTTGAGATCGAATAATTATTCAAGCTTGGCTTGATATTATGCGGTTTGTGGTGATCATTTGAGCTAACCAGTTCTGAGTAAGGAGACAGTTGATATTACGAAAATAAAGAGAAGTGATTTACATACTTGTCATGTGAATATCAACAAAGCCTTTGTTTGTTTTTCGGCGAGTTTTGAGTTACTTGACGGTTCACATTTAGTAAAATATTACCTCCTTTAGCTTAAGACTCGGTAAAAGAAAGGGCCGTTTTAATAATATTTATGAGCTACGATTAATTTCAGCAGGTTTTCTACCAATCGACTTTCATATCTTTCGTCGTGGTTTTGGCAAAACTTCTTTTCATCAACTTCTGGACCCTGCGTTGGAATATGAGACAAAAAAAATTTCAAAGCTATGTGATAATCCTGTAATAGACAGTTGGGTCATAATGATTTTCCTTTTGTTTATTCCAGTCAGCACTGAGTCGGGAACGAATCTGGTAACCAGTTTACACGGCCCGTAAATTCTGTGGCAAGTGACTTCTTCTGCCATTACACAGAGGAGTTTTATCTTTTGAGCATCGCAGGAATCCAAAGGCTTCAAGAGGTAGGTCGAATTTAGAAATGAACTCGTGTTTTAAAGTCTTGTGAATTTTTTTCACATATTTCAAGGGACGCACTATCACGGGACTAATTTTTTCCTAGAAAGGTTCAGACTTTAATTCAAATGATACCAAGCTCATAAGAGAAACAGAGTTTTTTAGAAAAAAAAATCAGAAAAATGAATCAAGCAAATTTTGGGCCTAATATGCAGCGTTATTTCAAACTGAGTATCCAGTCTTTAACGAAGCCACACAAAGAGAAATATTGCGCTGAAAAACATAAATATATCGTGAGTCGAGCGCTATAGCAAATATCACGTAGACAAAAAAAAACGTGATGCACGTACCAGTCATGTGAGCGCTTCTACTTGGATTTGCTAAAATACAATTCTCAGTGTTCTTCCTGTAGGAAAAATGTATACCTTCCTGTGTAAAAATTTGTCAACAAAACAGCTTAAATAAAAGCTTATTTTCCTTTTTTTCTTTACTCTTTGCACCCGTCATGCCTAAACTTGAGGTTTTTGAAGAGTTGTAGTTGAAAGTTGCCCAACGTTTTGATGTGTATCTTTTATCAAATTCTTGGCACATAAGCTAAGATGTATTTCTAAATCTTAACCTACATGTACCAATACCGCGAAGATCACCCTCATAATCATTTACATGCATCTGTAAGAAATCTGTTCAGCTTTCAAAATCCTACATTTTTCGTAGATGAAAATTTCATCTTATGAGATATCGACAAATGCATCTCTTACAGATTTAAACATTCACAGAGTCCAAGATCGTCGGAAACATGCCCGAGGCCACATCTTTTGCGGAATTAATATTTGAAACTCTGTCCGGGGCTTTCAAGAAAAGAGACGAGGTACATCATCATCATGAATTTGCCTTTTTAACAATAACGATAAACGAATTAATAAGGCGAGAAGACCTCAAGAAACCACCGAGTTTATTGGAAAGGCCACCTCCCTTAAAACTATATATTTAAAAAACACGTGCTTGGCCACAA